AGACAAAGAAGAAGAAGAGAGAGCATAATAAAACATCAAAGCGGAGAGAGATTTGAAGAGCGACCTTCCGATGAGCCTTTTGTAGTTTTGCAGTTTGGTCGGCGCAGAAAAAGAAACGAGATAATTACCAAAGGAGAGAGAATGAAAGAAATGGAGCACAAAGGATGCACATTTTTACGATTGTTTGAGTCGTTTCGCAGGAGAGAGTTGTAATTAGTTTTCGGATGTGCCAAAAATGTCTTAGGATGTGCTCCAATTGAAAGAGAAAAAGAAACAAATATTGTTCATATCGCCAGTTTCAACTATATTGAATTAAAGATAATAATTTTCAAAAGGAGAGTTGAAATAAATTTTCAGTACAAAAAAGCCGTAAAAAGCTAGATTGAATTTAATTTAATCGAAACATAAGCTTAAATTTTTGTTGAAATGTTCCAAATAAAGTCGATTCAAGCTGCAGGTGTCAAGTATTAACTTCCAAATTAAAACAAATTCCACTGAGTGAAATTTATTGTTAATGATATTTTAATTTTTTTCCAATTAAATACTTTTAAAAAATTGCCAATTTATGTCGGGTAGAGTTTTTAGCGAATAATATAAGAACAAAATAATAAGGACTTTTTTTCCAATCAATCATTTTTGAAATAAAAAAAGTTTTTAATATATTTGATGCCTCTTCTCTTGATTATAATATTTTTCATCTGAGGATTGTGGAAGTCTGTACCTGCAACCAAGACCATAACCACGCGATTACAAAGGACGCTCACTTATTATCAGAGAACCCTTTTCTAAAACAGAGACGTGTCTGCAACAAACGCAATCTTGCTTGGCTTTCGGGATAAAAATGGCCGAGGGCGTCGGCACGCAAGCTCATTCTCCTCTGCGCGCAAATATTTGGGTTCTGCTTTGCCGCTCTTGTTAGTTAAGGAAGAAGGCTCAAGTTAGATTAAATCGATGCGTGAACCTTACAAAGGGGCTTCGAGCAAGGTACTCTCTAATTACACTAATTACTTGCTTTAATTAGAGCTTTTACTTTCGTCTGCCAAAATCTGCCGGGTTTAGTAAACTTTGTATATATCGCTTCTTCCTAAATTAAATATTAATTTCCGCTCCAAGCGTTTGAATCAAAAGAAAAAGTTTAAAAAATTTGAAGTAAGCAAGTGATTAATGAGTGTAAACATTTCACTAAACCGTTTCTTAAGTATTTTTTTTTAAGATCTATTCAATAATTTTATATTCCCAAGTCAATTAAATTCAGTTGATTTGAATAAATTTTTAATAAATTTATACTCGCAGACTTTGAGTAACAATTTATTTCAGAAAATTCCCTTAAAAAAAAAATTAAATTAAATTCAAACTTTGAGGTTATTATATGGAAATGACATCTATAATTGATGATACCTAATTCAGAAAGATTCTTTTCATCAAAATCAGTCTGGACTATTTGTAAATTTCGCCTTTGATGAGACTTGTCAGTTAACTTCATATGGAAGCATTTTATTCTTTTCAGATTTTGGCTCTTGCGGATCTACGTGACGCAAAGTTATTCACGGTATAAAATTCCTCTCCAGCAACCGACATCATGTCGGGCGATGCTTTTACATTCTATTCTCTGCTTTATCTCGCACGCATCAAGCGCATTTAATATAATGACTGGAAATCGTCAGCGCCGTCTGTTCTTCAGGTCGGTCTCTCTTCATTATTATTTCTTCTTCTGTGGCTGGAAACCTCAGTATCAAATAATGTAATCGTAATAGCCGAGCCTTTGTGGCACAACCGCCGGTGTTTTCGTTTGGCCTCACCTGCGGCGATCGAGAAAGAGAAACAAATGGTCCGTCGTGCAGAATAGATGAATCTGAATTTCCATCACTTTTGCGTCGAGGAATGTCGATTCGTTCCTTTATTTGTTCCATTTTTTCCTTTGTTTTTAAATTAATGATTGAATTCTTTGTTGATTCAATTTTTTTTACAATTCCCAAGCTGCCTTGACTTAGAAACCTCGCGTTATTTGTTTGTGCCGATCAACGAGCACCTATATTAATAAAAATTTCTCCACCTGAAACAATGGACGGGTGTCAATCAAAAGCCTGTTATTTTTATTATTTTATTGTTGTAGTCCGGGGCACGCGACGCAACCTTCGCCATTGGAATTTCGTGTGTCGCAATCGAGGAGGTGCCATATCAAATTCGCAACCGGCAACTGCAGTTTCATCAATTCACCGGCGCCGACCTTGCGAATAAATTATTACGATTTTGCGCAATGGACACTCGAGTGCGATTTGCTCGGATGAGCGCAGTGATATAATTATGAATTAACATTCTGTCGACACACGAAAGCCTTAAAGGGCGGTCAACTGACGACAATGAGCTCCTCAAACGCGAAGTTCTGCAATTATTGCATTGTCAGGTAGAAATTTTCAAAACAATTTTTTAAGACATTAATAATAAATGTGTTAAAAAATTTGTTATATAAAAATTTATTTATTGTTTTGTGAAAATACATTTTTGATTTTAATTATATACAATTTTCCAATATGTTTTTATTTTAATTTTTGGTAATTTTATACGTTGAATGTTTTTAGTATAATCAATAATTAACAAATACGTTGATTTATTTGGATTTTTTATTTGTAGAAAAAAACTTTTAAATTATAATTTAAAAATCCATTGCAATTGAAATGGAGATAGATTTAAAGAAAGAATTTCATTTACAAAATCAATGTCATCTTTCATAACATGTTAAATAATTTATAGATTGAAATAATTTAAGCTACTCCACTAATTCGTCAACATTCCATATAAAATATAAAGTATATCAGTATTAACTGATTATAGGCCCCATAATCGATTTTAATCCTCTTAAGCTTGCCGATGGTATCAAAGGGTTATATGGGAGCTTCCCATAAAGAGCTTAATTAAGAGAAAAATCGCCAGCTCTGTTTTCCATTTTGAGTGAAATGAAGAGATGAACGCGGCGGGCGAGCGCAAATTAAAAACAAACACTCTCAATCCGCGCGCATTTCTCTCTCCCGCGTTCGTTCCGCACGGTCGGCCGACACAAACATTTCGCAAAAGTAAATTCTGTGTAATAAGATAACTCAAAAGTAAACAACGGCATCAGCACACAGCCGCCGTGTGAGCAAAATGAATTTGTTCGATCGGCGCTCCGGCTGCACTCACTTTCTGTTTACGCCGACGAGAGTGAGTGAAAATAACTTTTTGCCATGGCAAAAAGCAAGGGATGAAAATCATAACAACCCTGCGTCGGCCTTGAATCATAATTCTAGCGGCAGAGAAAATTGCACGCAAAAAACAATATTAAAAGAATGAACAGTTTTGTCCCAATTTTGTTCTGGTTAAACCAAGTAAGATTTGCTAAGTATACATTTATTACATACGTAAAATAATGTGTAATATTAATTATTGTTTTTCCTATTGATTCCGAATAGACTGGTAAAAAATATGCGAATATTTTTAGGCAAGTAAAAAATTCAATTCTTCAAACTATGAAAAATTAAAATTGAGTTTTGGATGATTATATTTTATTTCTGCTCTAAAATTTTGACTACACTGATTTTGAAGAGAATGAAATTTCTGTAATATAACTGAAATTTCAATTTTTCAAACTTTTTCAAAATTTCAAGATATAATTAATTGAAATTTTTTCTTCAAATATCCATTCCCAGTTTTTAATGGATTTTTTACTAATTTCATGAATTTAAATTTGTCAAGCTGTCATGAAATGAAAAAAAATCTGCCAAAAAATAGGTAAATATAAAACATTAAAGGTTGTCCAAAATCTAGAAATTGTCTTTTTTATTGAATCTCTTAAATAATTATTTTTCTCAAATGTTTCAAAATAGCATCAACAAGAATTAAATAAAAAAAATATTTCAGAATGAATTTCAGAACAAATTATAAGCCAAAATACAAGTTATATTTAAGATAATTTTTATTTCCGTAGTGGAAAATATCCAATTAATTTTAAAAATTGTTCTCCCCCTAAATTTGTTCATTTGGCTATATTTTTGCACGAAAAGAAGGATTATTTTCATGAAGGGAAAAAATGTTTTTTTTTCTAGTCCACGTTACTATTTGGTTAGACCGTGCCATTTATTTTATCTGCCATCTTTGCCTTATACGATTGGCCATCGCCGTTCAAATTTCGCAACACGACGAGGAGGGCAAGCAAATCCACCCACCAACCACCCTCTTCATCCCTTCGCAATTTTCATAAGGGTTAACGACCTGGCTCCATCTCGTCGTCGCGTCTCGGCAAAGAGGCTTTTCACTCATATAGTCGCCATCAAATATTTCCTTTGCTGCGACGAGACTCAAAAGTAATTGGCACTAAAGAGATAAAATTCGCGCGCCCGGAGGACAGCAATTTCGAGACCGTCTGGCCGGGAAAGATACAAAAAGTGCAGCGCAGCTTATTTGAATTATATATACGGACGAGTCGCGAAATTAAAGAAGCTGCCTGCCGCGTGCTCAAGGAGGAGAAAGTTTAATTACGCCGAATGCGCGTATAAAGCGTCTCTCCCTCTTGGCAGCCGCTCGGCGCAAATTAAATCCTATACTCGGTTATTATTTATCCTCGTCTCGAGACGTCTTAATTTTCAAATGAGCCAAAGTGACGCCACCGGAGCGCGCCAGGATTTTAATTAATGCAAAAACTCGCAGGGCGAAGTTTCCAATCCAGCCGGCCGATTGGAAATTTTTCGCCGGGCGGACGTTGTAATTTGAAAAGTTGCAGGCTCGGTTGTTTTACAAAAGAACGAGGGCGTATCTTGCGTGCGTGCTTTCGATGTGCGCGCGGCATAATTAATGGGGGCCAAATCCTCGGGGAGCAGACAAGAGATTCTTTGGCAAAATCCCTCTCTTTAGGCACACACGCCAGATTAGGTGTGTGGTTTTGGTGCGCAGCAAGGCTGGAAAGGCGAAACTCTTGCCAGTAAAACGCATAGAATGGAAAAGTTAAGGTCAAGAAAACACCTGCTGGGTTGTTTTACCCCCTTTTTTATTATTATTGCGTATTTTTCCACTTAAAATACATTGTTTAATAAGTACCTGTCCTCTTTAGACAATTAAAAAAATTTAAATTAAATTTGACTATCCTTACCAAAGCGTACAAAATAAAATGGGTTAAAAATCATTTCAAAGTGAATATTCATGGAAAATCTAAATAGCGTTTCACACTTTTATCCACATTCAAACAGCAGGAATTCAAAATTGCTACTGTCATTAATCAAAAAAATATAAATAATAACTCTGGGCTGAAGCGGATAGGTTGGACATCGTCTGCAAGTATGTTATCCACATTGCATCTTCAGCAACTGCGGTTTGCGTGAGGCTAAGTGAACTACATGCCTGAGTAATATCGTAGACTGTGGGTGTGGGAATTGGTGGGGCAAGTGATCGGTATAAAGGATAGGGAGAAACCTTTGGTGGTTTTTTCTTGTAGGTTGCGGTGTACTGAATCAAAAAGCTAGGATAAACCTGTAAAAGAGGATGAGTTGTATTCAGAGGGATTGTTACATTAATTATTGAATTCAACAATATCAAAAAATCTGAAAGGAAAGAAACAAGTGCTCATTGAAGGTTACCTTTTCTTGCTAATTTTGATGAACCCTTGTTTCATCCCTTAGGAGTTAGGAGTAAAATTTTTTTTTCATCTTGATTTGGATTTTAGATATTTTGTTTATTTATTCATTAATTCATTAATTCTAATTCAAGAATAAAAATTATGACTCGAGGGAACCTTTAAGTAAAACCAATTATCTCTTTCATCAGCACATTCCGTTACCTGTTCGTCATTGTAAATTATGTACTCGGGACGCAACAGAAATCCAGTATCTGGTATGGCTTTGACGGAATGATATCCTTCAGGAAGATATTTCACAGTTCTCTTTGTCCTATAAATTCTTCCAAGAGCAACTTTGCAAATCAAAATTCGTCTGATGCAAATCTCGCATTTCTTATTGTTGTGCTTGGGACAACCTTTGAAGGCACCAAAAGCGTAGTTGTTGCTCTTTGATGAGTGCTCCGCAAAATAAACCCCTGCTCATGAAATTTTCAACACGGAATTGCAGCACTGCAGCTCAATTACTCACCTTTTCCAAACATTCCTTTTGCCTTTGCAAGACCCTGGTCGAAACCTTCAACGGCGATTTCCCTTGCGTAGGGTGTACCGTGGAAAAGGTGCATTTCTTTAACGTAGTAACCGTCAAGGTCATCGCAAATGTCATCCCTCATATCTTGATATCGCTCCCAAGTGTACTTGTTCTTGATTCTATAAATCTTAAATTTAAATTAATCTACAATTGATTTCTCTAGACGAATTCTACAAATATCCTTACGCTTTTTATATTGAAACAAAATATATCTTCATGGCTGATAGTACTTTGCACTTTATTCTTCGCAAATTTGTAACCGTCAGTTTGCGGCGTTATCCGTTCTATCTTAATACCGTTATGCCAGCTCATTTTCTATTTACAAATAATAAACAATTATGAACGTAAACAATTTTCATAATAATTATGCACTAATAACAAATACACACATACGATTCCATAAATTGTCAAGTGAAGGAAGAAAATTTACTGAATTTTTCTAGTTTTTTTGGATGAAACTTATAATGTTTCATACAATTCATTATAAGCTTGACATAAATTTTGGGTGGTTTGGAGAAAAATATAATTTATTTATTATTTTTAATTTTCTAGAACAATTTATTTTGCTACTTGCATTGAAAAATTGGTATAATATCCGCATTACGTTTTTTCAGTTACAATGGAAACCATTATAAAATAATTATATTTTAATTAAGTTATCTGTGCATTATTATTGAATTTTTATTAAGATGCAAATAAATAGGTGTGTGATTCATACCTCATGAAGTGATGGTTAGATCTAAGGAGGATGATTACCACAGTGGCCACTGGAGTTTTTAGAATCTTAACATTAGACGTAAATTTTATGCTTCATTTATATATATCAAAAAGTCTACTTTATTGAAGTGTTTTAAAAAGTCAATGTTGATTGCTCAATTTTTTCAATGCAGTAATCAGCAGATAATGAAAAAGTCATATGCAAAACAGGAGCAACGTAATCGTCTAATCGCTGCCAATCGCTACTTGAGAATATTTTCTCTGTACACAAAATAAAAAATGTGTACCTGTACATATTTCTCCACTTAATGGGCTATTTAGTTTCAAAAATATATTTAACCAACGAAATTTTAAATTTGGAAATTTAATGCTGCAAAAATAATATTTAAAATCGCTATGTTTGTGATTTAAATTTTTGCTGCCAATATTAATGGTAAAGGTATCGTTTTGCAGTGGCCCAAACTCATTCCATTTGAGTGGCCGCCGGTTGACACAGACCCTCTTGTGACCTCTAACGCTGCAAAACGAGTCCATCTCCGCTTAATGGGTGCGCCAGGGATCAATTTGCCTCCCAAATTGCGGGTGGCATTACCATAAAAGGTCATTGTCGTCCTCGTCCAGACGGACACCGATGTAAATCTCGCCGCGGCCGATGCCATTTGCATCCATATTATGTGTCGGAGAGAGAGATAGACGGACAATAACAAAGAGCCGTGATAAGGCGGGAGGAAAATAATAATCACCTACGTGAGCATCCGGTGTTTGGAAATGGACGAGTAAATCCGCGTGCTGGGTTTTATTATTATTTATTTGCACTCTCGCTTTTGCCGATCGTCAGCTACAGATAATGAGACGAGAGGAGACAAAAAAAAAACGAAATGGAAATTATCAGCGCGTCACGTTTTGGGTGTAACATCCTCAGTACCTGGCTTTACTTCCTCTTGAATTATTGTCATGACGACTAGTTACACAACGCTGTCCGTTTACATGATTCACTTGGCAAAATAAAATTATTTTTTAAAATTACAAATTGAAGCGATGGAAAATATAATTATACTAACCGTTGCAAATTGCAATTTAAGACAATTATCTGTAATTACAGCAATTCTCATGCTTTGAAAAATTTCATAATTTGATTTCTAGACGAATATGTGTATCTAATAATAAAATGTGCCACTGCATAGATAAAGAATAAGTGCATTTCTACAAACAAAAGGTTACCATTAGTTTTAATTTATATTGCAATCCGATTTAGTACAGAAAAGATAATATCATAATATTGAACAAAATTTTGAAGCTAATTTAACAAATTATTCTGTAACTATATTTTAATTAAATTTTTAAATTTATTTATTTGAAATAAAGAATAAAAATTTAAAAAAATTACAACAAAAAATAAATGCAACTATTAAAATTTGTATTAAATTTTGAACGTAAGTTTATTTTTGCTATTCAAAGTTTGACTTAGAAAATTTGAGTTTTCTTCATTGCTTGTTTAAATTTAAAGCATTGCAAAAATTTAGCAATAAATAGTAAAACAATAAAAAACTTTAAAACATTTCGAATCTTCATTTGAATTAATTAAAAAGTTGTAATCACTGTGCTATAAAGAATCTAATTTTAATTGTGTCATTATACTTGTAGGTGTATACAAAAAAAATTAAAATGTAATTTTGATTGTTTCAGATGTCGAGGTGGTTCGGGTCGAGCATCCCACCTGTCGGAAGAACCGAAGTCTTGTTGCGGGCTGGCCCTCACACAGGCTGCATCAATCAGATGGTTTATTGTTCTAATCGCCTTCGTCGGTGTTTGCTGTGCCGTGGTGGGCACGGTGTTGGGTGCCATGCGAGCATCGGGCCGAGAACACCTCACCATATCGCTCCTCATGATAGGTAAGCGCACTTAACCCTTAGCTAGTCTCACTTGTTTACCCGCGCAACTTTCTTCGGCTTCAGTCGAGCGTGATAATTGCCGTACTTAGAGCTCTAATTATTTTTGTTTGTTGCGATCAAGGCGAGAAAAGCGTGCAAGGCTGCTGCAACAACCTTGCCTTTTTCGGACGAGAGAGAATTGTTTCCGTCTAATGAGATTATTCAATTTTTATTATGCTCGTTATATCTTCCGTTCTCTCCGCTTTAATTAAGAAGAATTATTACGGCGGCAATTTGCGGAACCGCCTATAAAACAAAACTTGCTGAATCTCCCTTTGCCTTTTATTAAATTGCGCACAGAGGAGGCCGTAAAATTTTCACTCGGATTCAATATACACCAATCGTAAATTATAATTTATAACTAAAAAGCTGAATGCTTGCTCGCGCTCCCCTTTAATTTCCTCTCTCGTACTTCGTAGCAATTTCGAAACGATTTTTCTTCTTTGCCTAATGCAATATAGGGCGAGAGTCAATATTGATGGTGAACGCGCCACGTGTTCAAACAAAAGATAATTACGGCAGGCCCGATCGTCCAGGTTGCCGTCGATAGAGGGAAAAAATTAAAATTTTCAAACAAAAACTAAATTTGCAATATCATCCCGTGCGAAAAAATTTTCCCGCCTCATTAGTAAAGGATTTTTTTGCTAATTCCAGTAAGCCGCTTTTTCCCGCGTGACTGCCGATGAAAAAAAAATCTCTTTCGGAGAGAAGCTCTTTTCGCAGAGAAACCAAATACGGTGGATGTTGTTGTTGCCGGAGAGAGAGCGAAAGAGAATTGATCGGTTTCGGGCGTTGCTGCCGGTTTGCTTTTTGGTAATCGTGCGTTCATTAGGCGTCTCGTTTCTGCTGATTCAGCGGCCGTTTTAATTGACAATTGACTACACCAGAGATGACCGCACTAATGAATTTCGCCAGCGTGAATGTGTTTAATCTAATAATCATCTCCTGCGTCTAATTGACTCCGACCACCGCGTCGAGGCTTCAATTCAACTCATTCCTGGAAAACGCGCTTGCTAATTAGGACTGGCAAATTAGAAAACGCGGATGAATCATGAGAAGTTCCCATCCGAGAGCCAGGTTTTCTGGTGCGTTTGGCCGCGGCATTGCACCAGTGAAAGTATAATGTGAAAAAAAAATAAGCTGAAACGTACGGGTAGTCTGGGGCCAGCATTGGCCAAATGGAATTGGACTGTAACAAAAAGCGTGGGAAAAAGGAAAAAAGAAACAACGGTTTACACCGAAATGCTTTGTTAAAAACGCCTCAACTTCAGCCTATTTTTGTAATCACCAGAAATGATACAAAAAAAATCATGTCTCCTTTTTTATTAATTAAATTTTTTTATAGAATCAAATTAACTTTAACAATGAATATAAGTTGAATCTTAACTTCAGTATTGATTATTATTCTTGAAATAAGTAAAAGCAAAATTCATATTTTTACTATTGAAATCCTGGTCAAAAGTCGAAACATTTGCATTTGTAAGGTTGAAAGTTGAAATAGGGGAGTCCATGAGAAGGTTAAAAGTAATCACTTAAAATTTGAGGTCTGTCTTTTTGGTAAATCCCTAAATTCTACCTTATACATACGTCATTTTAAAAGATTGATTACATTTCCTTATTAAAACTCAATTGATTTGGGAGGAAAAAGTGAACTTTCGATTAACCTTTCGAACCTTTAAGAGCAAAAATTTTTTGACTGCGATTTTGATTTCAGTCTCAGGTCTCAAGGAAATTTTATATTCTTTCAAATTCAAGAACAAAAAGCTTTTCTAGCGAGATCCTTTCAATCCTTTGATTAAGATAAAATAATAAAATTTTCCTTTTTTTCTCAAACATCAATCTTGAATACCATCACAACTACTTTTATTTTGACGTTCAAATTATGATGTGTGCGTGTCACTTTGCGTGTTTGTTTTCGGTGCACGAGGGTATCTCTCTGGGAACTGAATTCGCACGCCTCTTTCTCTTTCTCTCTCTCGCAAACTAGGTGAAAAACGAACAAAAAATTCGTTCTCTGTGCGGCGCGTGCTCTGGCAGTCATGAAACGGCGTATAATTCCGATGTTTAATTTTCTTCCTCAAACACACGTCCACGTGCGAAACGGACGAGAGCGAGAGAAAAGTTCAGGCGGCTGAAAAACAATTCCCGGCCAACAAATTCAAAGCAAACATTTGCGTTCGGCAAATACGATAAATTTGATTATCCAGCCGTGCAGTCGGTTAGGAAAACACGCGGCTGCGGTGTCTCGTCCTCTTGCTCTCCTCGCCGCTTTTTTTTATATTTTTAATTAAAAAAAGGAAAACACACGGTGCGCGCACGGGCTCAGAATAATTTGAACGTCAGAGAGCAGAAGAGAGGCTTTTCCTGCGCAGAGCTGAGTGTGTGATGCGAATAATGTCGAGAGAGCGGTGCGGTCGCGGGAAACGAGAAAAGCATTCGGAAAAGTTGCTCTCCGCTGAAATTGGCTTTTAACCTGAATATTGAATTTCATCCTCGCCATTGTTCCCAGCTTTGGCCACGCAAATTCCAACAATTCGAGTGGAACTATTCGAAATGAAATTATAAATTATAGACTGGAAATGATGACTTTCGGTCTCTGAACCCTTTACTAAGAGGACTATTAATTTGTTATTTTAGGTTGGTAGTTCTGTATGGATGAATTTATCAAGAACTGTTGGTATTATTACAATTTAACCCTTTATATGTTAATATTTACTTGTTAATTATAAATTATAGTCCAATGGCTAAATAATTAAATTAGTTCCATTAATTCTGTTTCATATGTTCAATTATCAATGAATAGCCTTCAGCCTTCTATATTGTTATGTAATTTTAATTATGCAACAATTATTTGTTTCAAAATCAATTTTGAACATTTTAATAGTGTAGGCTGTGAAGGACGACAAAATAAATTTATTATCTTATTTCCTTAAAAAATTTGAATCATCCTACAATAGTATTCTAGCAATTACTTAAAATTGTTTGCACAATTTTATCTGAATAACACTGCGCAATCTTAAAACAATCAAATCGGTTGGCAAATTTATTGCATTTCAGATTTCTCTGCATTCAAACGCCAGAAAAAATATCGGGTGAATGCACGCACTGCCATCAAATATGAACATTGTCTTGCGTCCGCCAAGGTATTTAATTTTGCATTAAATACCAACCTCCGTCGGGCTGCTGAACTGGGCAAATATTTACCCTTTCTATTCCGTGCGCTGCCCATTGTTCAAACACGGAGCGAGTTTAAAATGTACACATACGTCGTCTCCTCTCATTCCCATTGTGCTGCTCCACATATCTCTGTCTGTGGGCGTGGGTGCTGCTCTAGCTCGCGAGACTAACTCAGAATTTCTCAATTATCTCGCAAATGAGCTCGAAAGTCCCAAGAAACCAGAACTAATAACACACCCGGGCGCAACCGAGGCTCAATCTGCATTGCGCATTTCGCCCTCCAGAGAGTCGGTTGTTCGCCGACAAAACAGGGCGCATAACTCTGCGCCTAAAAGGCTTTGTTCGTGTTTTATGCGCTCCGTCGCGGCTCAACTCGCTTGGGCTGCTGATAAGGCAAAACTTTTCCCCGACTCACACGTCTTTCGAACGCCGAAGATCCATATTTCCGGAGTCAACTTCGGCTAACACAAGTTTCAAGTCGCCAAAAAGAACATAACTTTCTTATATTGTAGTAAATTTTTTTCGTTGCAATATTCCTTTGATTATCAGCAAATTGAAAAAGTTTCCAAAACAAACAAATAAACAGGTTTATCTTCTAATTAACTTACTTCCTCTTAGAAGAAACTAAAGCACTCAAATATTGATACCATTTGACGCAGTTAACAATAAAGCATTCAATTGTTGAGAGCCTGATTGACAAGTTGAAAGATCTTTCTGTAAAAATTGAATAAATAAAAATTTGAAAATAATTCTTATACACGGAAAATATCTGATCAATTTCTTTTTTTATATAAAATTCAATCGGATTTGGAAATTTGTAATTCAATTTAATTTCTTTTCAATGAAAGATTTTCATCAATTATATTTTTGAAATCTTTTAATCTCTGAACAGTTTCTATTTTGTTTGTTAACAAACAAAACATGAGCAGCCATGCGACATTTCACGTCTGTTGGATTTGCGGATTTGTGTAGCCGCAGGGATCCAATTAATCAAATGCACTACTTGAGCTCATGTTTGGATCCTAATTACCGAGACGAAACCTGTGACGCTTTGTGCGGATTACTTGAGCAAAACGTTGTTACAAAGATGATCATGTCTCTTTGCAGTCAATTGAAAGTTACAAACAAAGAGGCTGTTGAACGTGCGCAATTCCGATTAAATCTCTCTTGTGTTTTGAAAATCCTGCGGTAATTGCCTTCAATTTCCTCGCACGCCGTGACTTCACGCGAATTCAATTTAATCCGCATTCAAAGCAGCTTATATACGTGCGGCATCTCTCGCTATCAAATTACACCCAGCCAGCATTTCCCGGAATGGAAACAACAGGGCGCTTTATCGACGGACGAAATCTTGGTGCAATTTGGAGCGCGATTTGCTACAGCGGCTTTTTGCTGCTCCGGGTTTTGTTTCACGACCTTGTTGATTGCGCGACCTTAGCCTCTAATCACTCGGCACGGGATGCGGCTCAGCGAAGGTGTGCAGGCAGGTGTGCCATGCGGGTTGCATTCGACGCAAGGCCGAGCGTGACGACGCCAAACCGGCTGCTGATAGATAAATAAATAAATGTACGCACCGCGGTGTTTGCGCGGAAAACAGCTGACCAGACGTGTACACGTTACTCTATTTGCTCTTGAGAAAGAATCCCCGCATTCTTGTTTGTCCATCGGCCCGTGTATGGCCAAAATTAAAATCCTTGGCATTAATTTACTGCTAAGGTCAATTTAAAGTTAAAAAAATATATATAATGCTGGTTGTGTGAAATTCATTCAAAAGTTCGCTACAA